TTCGAGTCGTGTAGCTGCTGAATCCATGGTCTGTGCTCGTGTTCTTATACCTTGCGATAACAATGCGCGAGGTCTCAAGGGACAGCGGTTATCAGTGGGCCGCGTCGGCAACAGGCAGCCGTGGACATATTTGTTCCCGCTGCCATCATGAGTTACGAGACGTCGGTCCGGGGTTCAGTATGGTCACTGGGGATCAGTGTGGTCGCTGCTTCATGGCCGAAGTCATGAAAGACTGCAAGATTAGCTTGACCATGATAAGACCACAAGCGCGGGCTTATCGCGTGCTGAGCACATTGTCGAGGAACCCGAAGCCCTCGTATACAGTCACTGAACTTCCCGGCGGACCTCCGCAGGCGCGTCGTATAACGTGACCGTGTTCCACAGTGTGATGCAGCGTTCCGGGGTGTCGTTTGGGTGGAGATGCAAGCTTGAAGCACGTAAACATGGTAGTGCGACTTCATCCTCCTCGTGCGGAAGGACGCGATGCTCTGAGAAACATGCATCAGCGTACGTATAGTACATCGACTGCTTCGAACGAGTTGCACGTACTATCGCCAAGAGCACGGTATTTTGAAGGGGACGCATGACTGACCATCGAGAATACCCCGTATACTCATGACTGACTCCGCGACGTAATGCTAGCGGCCTGCTTCGGCGGGAATCAAACAGGACTAATCCTCTCGCGAGCCTAGAGGTCGAGCCGTAGTCGTACTGGCCGAATGCATCCGCGAACATGGGCTCGTGCTCAGGCGCTTACGTGCATTGAAAGCCCGTCTTCGGTAACTCTGGCTCTTTCACCTCCGCCACCCTCACCTCGCTTGCGCTCGGTCGTGTGTACACCGGTACCTTGGCTCTTCGTTCAAACATGGACGGGGAAGCGTTGAACAAGCTGCCATATAAGAGGCTCCAGCGTCTGGCAAAGGTACGGGTAGTTCACCGGGAGGGTGGTTTGAGCTGACCACCGTCAACCCTCACCACTCCTGCGACAGACATATGATATTAGAGCAAACCAGAGGAAGGAGGAAATCATCCATCACTTACTAAAGAAGTTCCATGGCGGGCCGGTCCTGTACGTCTTCGGTAGGGCAATCCGCGAGACGTGGCTGAACATCTTGCAGGACCAAACGGAAGAGCGCACCCATGCGTGCTGCAGAGGAAGTTGCCCGAACACGGGAAGATTCAATGAAGGATATAGAGGTCGAAGCAGATACAGAAGCAGCTCAAGACCCGGAAACTAGAGCTCAGGAGGTGGAGGTCGAAGAACATCCGGAAGAGGAGGGGCGCTTCGAGATACCCTCGCCCTGGCGGATGCCACAGATCAGCGCCGTCAAGCCGACCATGTTTCCGCTGCAGCGCAGCCCGGTTGGTCGACTGCAACCGGCGAACTTTGCACTGAATGCAAGCTACACCGTGTCTTCTGCGAATTCGACGAGTAGCTCGTCCAGCTATGGGTCGCCAGATCGGCACGCTGTCACTCCTGGTACGTTGTGCGCTCGAGGTTGATGCTCAACCGCACCGCTGACATCGTACGCAGCGCGATATCTGCCGGGAAGGTATAGCCCTCGACCCAATTGGGTTCCACCGACGCGCGAGGAGGTTGCGCGCCCCGGCGCGAGCGCGACGCGCGGTTTTGTCCCACCGGCAGAGTGGAACCCGGCCTTGTGTGTGTCGGTAGGAAGTGCATCGGTGGTAGGACCGCGACCGGCGCGACAAGCCCAGCAGCAGCAGCAGCATGCGCAGGACACTCACGAGGAAGTGGAGGCAGTGATGAAGGAGGTGGAAGAGCTGGTGCAATCTGGACCTGTTCGCCCTTCTATCCAACAGCTGCGTTCAGCTCTCGGGATGATGAAGTCGCTCGCTGGAGAGAAGGGGGCCCTTTTGAAGGAGATTAAAGACCTAGGCCGGGTGATCCAGGTCATGCTGGCTCGAGAAAGGTCTAACCAAAACAGAATCAGGCAGGTTAGAGCAATACGGAAGGTAATGGAGGAACATTACATCGGGGAGGAGAACTTGGCCCCGCTCTTGAATGGAGGGAGAGACACGCGAGATGGACCAGGTTCGCCAAGGTACGGGACACTCTTCACATGCATGTCAACAATACGAACTCACCGTACATCTTGCCTTGACCAGGAAGAGAAGTGCCCACGACCAGGCAGATGAGTCGCGCAGCAAACGGCGTCGAATGAAGAGGGCATGACGACTGCTCATTTTGTGCTCCAGCTCCGCATGGACTCGGGACTTGCTCAGGACACTTCAGTATATATGAGGCGGACTCAGATATCAGATATATATTGCTGTAACTTATCACGAATTCGGCGGGAGAGGGATGTGACTGAGTCGAGACGTACCAATCCTCCCTGCCAGATGTATATCGCTCCTAGTTCATCTGCGCTGCGACACGCCCTTCGGATACAAAGCGCCGCGCCGTACTCCTACATAGAAATGCTTGTCTTGACATGCGCATCCATTCCACGCGTTTCGTACGCTCCCATGGAGAGTTCCAATGGACTTCGGTCTGCTGCTGTCTGCTGCTGTCGTGCCAGGCCCATGCCAGAGGTATATTGCAGCTCGTACACGACTCTAACGCGACATCGAGAGTCACCGAGAGCAGGAGGAGGAAGGACGCGAACACCGAGGGCCGAGGGCGGACAGACGAGGCGGGGTTCAGGAGAGCCATGTGGCATGAATATTTTCGGCATGTTGGGCCTTCAAGCTCAAGCTTCAACTTCAAGACGCACCTCCGGGCCCCTGCGGCTCCTGGAGTAGCAGATGGGTGTCAGACAGAAGAGTGAGACGAAGCATGGTTGTAGAACGCGTATGTGGCTCAAAGGCAGAGGCATACGTATGTAGGCGCCTATCCTGACGGTCGTGACTACTTATGGCCCTACTGAGGCTATCCTAACTTCTCAACTCCATGGACAGCTCCTCAGCGGGAATCCAGAAAGCACAAAAAGCATAGAGACAGACCAGACTGATAATTCGGGAAAGTCAGCGCAAGCTAGCAGCTAAGTAGCATTCGCATTCCGCGCTGCGAGTGCGCGAGTACTACCAGGTTCCTCCGCTTACTCCTCTTCACCATATGTGTCACAGTTGTTTGATACATCAGCCTCTATCCCAGGGTATACTCGAGCCATGGGCCCCGGCCCTTGCCCTGATCAAGTTAGGAAGCGTACTTATATCCTCAGACAGCCTAATTGATCTGATTTCGAACGTTACCATACAGGAAAATATGAGTACGGAGTTCATGTCATTGCAAGGCCAGTTCTACGTCTAGGTTCGCATGATCTAGATTTCTTCAAGTCTAGCAAGGAGAGTGAGGGATGTCTAAACGGATATGGTAACGGAGGCGCTCAAACCCGTCCTTGGCTTCGTCCTGGCAGCAGCGAGCTCCGCACGCTTCGTTGGCAAGGTTTCGTCCCGCGAGACTTCAAGGGAGATGAGGAGAATTGGGCGGTCCGGGATAGGAGGTTCCGTGGCCTGACGTGGCTGCGTGAGGGCACCAATTCACCCGGATCGACGTCATCATGTCAAACCTGCGTCCCGTGCATTTCTTGGCAATGCTGTATATATGCTGGGCCGCCCTATCAGTTGCGCAACTTCTCCTCTCACTCGCACAATTACCACCCACGCTCACACTATTGTATATCCTCACCAACACTTCACCATGGTCGACACTTGCACATGCCAGAACAACTGCGGGTAAGTCTTAGCACTGAATGTCGTCAAGTGCGGATAGGGAGGATAGGGGTTAATGCGGACGTGCAACAGTGCCTGTGGACCCACGGGCACAGGCTGCTCCTGCGCGAAAGACAAGTGCAACTGCCAGAACTGCGGAAACCACGCATCCGAGCCGACTCAGCAGAACACCGTACGTTTCTTCTCCCATGCCAGTTCAGAGGTTCGGATTAATATTCACATGACGATTACGGGGCGACGTGATAGTGCGGCTGCGACCACTCCAAGAGCTCGGAGTGCGCGTGCACGAAGGCCGGAAACAAGTGCACATGCGGCCAGTGAACGGCAGATGCAGCGGTACACGTCTGCTGAAGAGTCGTGAACGGCGTTTTGTCTGTATGGAAATGCATGATGTATCAGCAAAGCCATCAATGATGACGTTGACCCTGCGCAACTCCTTATATCGTTCGCCGTCATGCGACAAATTGTGTTCGGAGTCCGACGCAGTAAGTCGAGTCCCTGATGCGTATAGCTTGATGGGCCGTCAGTAAGGGTGCACTATATTGACTGCGATGGCGGGCAAGGTTTGCATCCGGCTTGCGTAAGTAGACACTATGGTAAGTGTGCGGCCGTGGGTGTATGAACTTTGACTTCACAAACTTATCAACAGACTGGTAATTACTCTATTCCAACAATGCAAGAGTAGGACGGACATGTTTCTGATGAGTGGACTTGGAGTGGCCATGTGCCTTAGCTTTCCCTACTCCGAAGGTCGATTGGACGCTGGACTGAGACGGGCGACCACATCATGAATTTTTTTCGTCGCCGACACGTTCACTGTTCGCGTTCAACACGGTGGTCGGGCTAAGGTGCGAGACCAACGTTCACATGATTTATAGGACGCTCACATTCATGCTCAGCGCTGGGCTAGTTGGACACGCTTACGTACGCCATGTCAAGTGGCGGTGTTGTGGTTAAAGATACTGGGCTGCTCAAATGGGTCGTTGTGATTGCATCAAGAGGTGAAAAATGTTGCTTCGCATCGCCATTCACGACTCTGCACACGTCAACGCATTCTAGGAAATGTGGCGAAATGCTTGAAGTTGTCATTGAAGTTCATGACTGAGAAAGCGGAGTTGCGAGGACTCATGACCAGCATGTCCGCGTACGGTCCGTCTCTCGATAGACTCGAAGACCTGAGCAGTGAGAGTCACCTTGTCTCCCCTAGGCAGCCCACGATACGACAAGTCAGAGTCACCGTGACCATGTCTCGAACGGTAACGGTCATGACAATATGAACCGTACATACTTACGCTCCCTACACTTCCCGTTTAGCTCAGTTGGTAGAGCGCGTCACTAGTATTGGTAATGACGAGGTCAGTCGTTCAAATCGGCTAATGGGAAATTCATCCTTTCGCCTCTACTCTTTTGCAAAGTCTACCCGTCTCCGCACATGTTGTAACCTGCTGCCTCGTCGTGTCTCCTACGTTTTTCCACTTCTGGGTCCTGGCAGACTTGTCTTGCAAGATCTAGGTTGCTGTCGACCACAGAAGCTCCTCGCAACGAATAAGTGGTCAACTGCAGTCGCTCGAGGGAATCCTCCTCCTCCGACATCAAGCCCGGAATGAACTCGTATCCCCCCGAGCTGCTCGTGCAGCTCGCACCCGTCATGTTCGTGGCCGGACTGGACGCGCAAGCGCATCCACCGCAGACTCCAGCGAGTCCGAACACGCCCACGACCCCGCAATCCCGACAGGATCCATTCTACGTTCTCGCGACGAGACTCCGTGATGCGCTCGTCTCGCAGCGCAAGGTCGCCATCTGGCAGCCGGAGAAGTCCAAGACCTTCCAGGTCGTGCTGGTGGACAAGGTACGTACGATCTTTGCGTGGAGTCATGCGAGGTGTAACAACACCGCAGGACATCCCATTTCCACCTCGCAAACTCCTGCGTCCAGAAGATCCGCAATACAGCTCTGCCCACTCCCCCCTCTCACCCTTGACCCCGTCCTCACCACTGTACCCCGACGGTCTCATCGCACCCATATGGATACGGAAGCACACGACCCTCGTTCCCTCGGTGTTCGTGGTGTTCATGCGGATATACGAGTCGCCCACGGGCAAGGACGAGCGGGAGCGC